TTTTTTTTTGTGGCTTCCTTTTTTTGTATACTTTTTCATACCTGAGACTTTCTAATTGGATTAAAGTGTTGAACTGAAACCCTTTTTACTTTTTTTTTTAACCTAATTCCTTTTTCTTTTTAGTTTTTTACTTTTTATTTTTCTGCTTTTTATAAGATTTAACAATTTTTTCCTTTCTCTGTTTATGGATTTTTTTTCTTCCTTTTTTGAGCTTTTACTGCTATTTAACTAAGAGATTGGATTAAGGTATACAAGAACCTGAAGAAACCTTTTTTTTTTTATCTTGCTTCTTCTTTTCCACTATTTTTACTTGGATTTACAATTGGCTATTTCACAAGTGGATTAAGGTTTGGAAGAACCTGAAGATTTTGAATTATCCGAAATGAGCAGGAAATTAACAGCGGCTGGTTCTTCAATTCCTACTTCTTCCTCTTCACCATCGGTAGGACAACGCTCAATACAGACGATGTAACAGCAAGAAAAAGAACAGGAAAAGGTGACATTGCAGATGATAATGCAAGGAATTTAAAGCATACAAGCAAGAACAGAGAATATTGAAAGGAGAACATAAAAAACTGATGAAAAGGTGGAGAATATTCAACAAATGATGATGAAGTATGATGAGAAATTCAAAAAAAATTGAAGAAGATAAACAAAGAGATAAGAAGATTGGAGGTATTGATGACAGATTAACAGTGGTTGAACAAGATAAAAGTGGGATGCTGAGATGGGATATGGCTAGATCAGAATTTTATCTCAGATTTCAAAATATAGAAGAAGAAAAGGGACAAAGCTGAGATAATGATAGAAATCTTTGCTGAAGCTCTGGAAATAAACAAAGAGAAGATGATGGATGGAATAGACGAGGTTTTTCAAGTCTTCACAAGATATGCAATGAGAAATAGCTTACCAAGAGAAGTTTACATCAGATTTACAAAGAAAGCCATTAAAACACAAATATTACAGGTGGCAAGAGAGAAAACATTGAAATATAAAGATAAGGAGATTGTGGTCCTGAAACAAGTGCCTAGAAGAATGAGAGAAATGAGAAGAGAATACTGATTCCTGACTAAAATCCTACTTAAAAAAGAGGTGAATTATAAATGGCTGATTCCAGAAAGTTTAATGTTCACATGGCAAGAACAGAGACATAGAATTGATTCAATTGAGAAAGCTGAATCATTTTATACTGAATACTTTGGAGGGAGAGAGGAGGAGACAGAAAAAGAAACGTCACTAATTGAATTCCAAGAGGATTGCCAAATAGCGACTGAAAAAGAATAAGGTGCAGTAGGCGGAAAGGTGGAAGTTAAGGAACAACACGAACCAAGATCTACAAGAGCTGTTAAACCTAATTGTAAAGTATAAACATGGAAGAGAAAAAGCTGATTACAATTAACATAAACGGACTTAATTTAGCTGCTAAAAGAAGGAAAACTTTCCATAAATTAGAGAAATTAAAATTTGATATAATCTGCCTACAAGAAGTACATATTAAAAAGCAACATGAACAACTGTTGATACAGCCAAAATTAGGGAAAATGTTTACTTCTTTGACACAATGCAAGAAAAGAGGAGTGGTTTTATACATTAAAGATATTATCCCAGTGAAATTGATTGATACAGATTATGATGGAAGAGTATTAATGGTGGAAATAATGGACAATAACATGAAAACACTCCTGATTGCAATCTGTGCCCCGAATGACAATCAAGAAGAATTTTATAGAAATCTACATATGAAAATAACTGAACTGGACTATACTAATATCATTATGATGGGAGATTTCAATGAAATTGTAGACAATAAATTGGACTATACAACACAGAAAACAACAAAGCAAAACAGAAAGACTCTCCCTAAATCCTTTTTTAAAATGACAGATGAAATAAACCTAAAAGATGCATGGAGAGAAAGAAATGCTAAGACTAAACAATACACTTTCTATTCAAACAGACATTTATCATGGTCCAGAATAGATATGATATGGACGCCAACAGAATTGCTAGCCAATGTGCAAGAAATAAATATTGAAACAAGTATTTGGGCAGATCATAATCCAATGACAATTAAATGGAAAGGACAAAGAAGAAGATCTAGATGGATGTTAAACAATACTATATTAAAAGAAAATGACTTCATACAGAGGATTGAGAAAGAACTGCCTTTTTTCTTTAAAGAAAATAAAAAAGAAGACACATCAATGCAGAATGTATGGGATACAATGAAGGCATATGCCAGAGGCTTGATAATAGACTATACAAGGAAAAAAAATATCACGAAAAGACTAGCCTCTAAGACATTAGAGGATGAGTATAAAGAACTTGAAAAAGAGTTACAGGAAATGCCACAGAAAAAAGACATTAAGTTAAAAATGGATATAATTAAACATAAAATGGGATTAATGGAAAAAGAAGAATTAGCACAGAAAATCAGAGGCGCGAAACAGAGCTACTTTGAAGCTGCAAATAAACCATGTATATGGTTAGCATGTAAATTGAGAAAGGAGAAAGAATCAAGGAAAATATTGCAATTAATAGATGATCAAGGCCAAGTTTGCAATGGAAGTAAAGAGAAGAAGGAAATTATATGAGACTATTACGGGAAACTATATACACAAGAGAATATTGATGATGAAAGAGTTAAACAGTACTTACAGAATGCTAACCTACCCCAGATACCTAAAGAGATTGAAATAATGTTAGAAAGTAATATAATGATGATGGAGTTAACTGAAGCACTTAAGAAGCAAAACAACGGAAAGGCACCAGGCCCAGATGGACTTCCGGCGGAATTTTATAAAACACTACAAGAATCGTTGAATCTTCCATTGCTAGAAGTTATGAATGAAGTTATGTCAAAGAAGAAGATACCTAAATCATGGTCAGAAGCTTATACTTATCCCAAAAGAGATAAGCTTATACTTATCCCAAAAGAGGAGGCCGACCCATTACAAATCAAGAATTACAGACCTATTTCCCTACTAAATGCAGATTATAAAATTTTGGCTTCAATATTGGCAGAAAGACTTAAAAAATACCTAAATAATTTTATTCACTCTGACCAAAATGGATTTCTGCCAAAGAGACAAATTAAAGACAATATGAGAGTAATCTTGGACACTGTGGAATACTACAAGGCACACCCTGAAAAATAAATGGCTTTGGTATTCTTAGATGCACAGAAGGCATTTGACAATGTGAATTGGTGATTCATGTTATTACAGCTAGAACAGATGGGTTTTGGTAAAAAAGTCATCCAAGCAATAGAAGCTATATATCATAAGCAAACAGCAAAAGTAATGATAGAGGGAGAATTAACGGACTCTATTGATATAAGAAAAGGAACAAGACAAGGGTGCCCACTGTCACCTTTGTTGTTTGTGTTAACCTTGGAAGTGCTAAACAGAAATATTAGAGAAGAAAAGGACATAAAAGGGATGGAAATTAAAAACGAAGAATTTAAATTGCAAGCATTTGCAGATGATCTGGTTTTCATCTTAGAAGACCCACTAGAAATAGCATTAAAATTGATAGAAAAGATAGAGGTATATGGGAAGGTGGCTGGTTTGAAAATAAACAAAGACAAAATAAAGATTTGACAAAGAATATGTTTTCAAGACAAAAGGAAGAATTGGCGGATGTATTAAAAATCCAGGTCACGAATAAGATCAAGTATTTGGTTATACATTTGACAGCAAGATGTAGTACACTAAAAGATAATAATTATATTAAACTTAAGCAGCAGATAGCACTAGATTTGGCAAAATGGGAAAATTTACAACTGTCATTAATAGGGAGAATACCAACAATCAAGATGAATATATTACCCAGAATTTTATATTTGTTTCAAACAATTCCAGTTAGGCTTGGAAAAGATTATTTTGAAGATTTAAATAAAATTGTGTTGAAATATATATGGCAAGGTAAGAAAGCGAGAATAAAGTTAAAACTTTTGCAAGATGCCAAAATAAGAGGAGGATTTGGTTTGCCTAATTGGAGTTGTATTATCAAGCTACTAATCTGATGTGGTTTAAGGAATGGATAACATTAAGAAATGCTAGATTGTTGACACTAGAAGGACATGATCTGTTGTTGGGGTGGCATGCTTTTTTATGGTATAAAGGAACTAAAACACAGGGGTACTTTGAAGACAATATATACGGGAGTCTCTGTGGTTAAACTGGGAGAAGACTAAAAGGCAATGTTATTTGAAAATTCCAGTCTGGCTATCTATTATTGAAGCTTTTTCTTATCCTATAATATACAGTGCCTGAAGAAATATGGACAGAGGTTCACAACATTGTAGCAACTAAAAGCATCCCAAAGAAAAAGAAATGCAAGAAAGCAAAATGGCTATCTGAGGAAGCTTTGCAAATAGCTGAGGAAAGAAGGGAAGCGAAAGGCAAGGGAGAAAGATACACCCAATTGAATGCAGAATTTCAGAAAATAGCTAGAAGAGATAAGCATGCCTTCTTAAATGAACAGTGCAAAGAAATAGAAGAAAACAATAGTGTAGGGAGGACCAGAGATCTCTTCAAGAAAATTGGAGATATGAAGGGAACGTTTCTGTTCTGTCCTGGAGAGTGGGCGCAATAACGGAGACGAGACATCAAATAGTGACTCCAACTCTTTATTAGTGACTTCAGAAAAACAG